GACCCCCTTCTGCCCCCCCCCCCGACCCCTTTTCACTGCGCACGCACTTATGGTATAAAGCGCCGCCCTCGTGCGTAACCGCTTGCTTCCCGCACTTGTTGCGTAATATACTATTTTTTCAGTGTGAAATGCGGCGCCGCGCTCATTGCGCGACCACAATCCTCAGTGGAATTTTCTTGCCGACGTTGTCCAATCGGGCCACCGGCCGTCAGCCCGTAGCAGGGGATGGAAACTCCGACTTCCCCTTCCTCTTTTATTTGATTGTGGAGGTTGAGGTACCAACCAATTTTCGTAGATTTTTGTGGTAATGCAAGGAAAGAAATGAAATAAAAAGAAAAACAAAAAAATTGATATAAAGTTTTTTCTAGGTTGCCAGTGTTGATGGATGTTGAATGGAATAATTCATGTAAAAGAACGAAAATGAATAAACAGTATATAACAAAAAAATGATGAATATCAGCTTATTTTGAAGTTTCAGTTGTTGGTGATGATTGATTACAGAGTAGAGTTAGCGGCAAGTTCAAAATAAAGTATGAAATAGATTGTTGGTAATGTGAAAAGAGTTCGAATAAAAATGAAAAAAAATATCCACGAATTTTAACTTATAAAACATCATAAAAAGTTGAATGTGAACGAGTGTTTTGACGTACGAGGACCCGATCGAAAAGATACTGCGACCAGCGGCAACGCTGTATCGCCCAAACCACGCAAGGCGCGACGCTAACCGGGCGACCACAGATAAGATATCAAGCGACCTAGCGCGATCAATGAAAGGTTAAGGAGAAGATTGAAATGTAGCAAAAATATTACAAAATTGGAAAAAATTGATAGCAATTCTGTAGCTATCTAATATGGGATTTATCGTCAGTGTCAAACTTTTGTTATAAATAAGTTAGGTTTCTGGGTACCACTCAAAGGTGTGTTATGTGACAATGGCAATGTTGCGTTGGTTGAATGCTGGCCACGCGGCATGGCCTATGCCAAGGAGAGGGAAATACTTTCTGATGTACAGAGTTATCCTTAATCGAAACACCCTAGTCAAACGAGAAGCTAGTATTCATATAAAAAATCGTCAAAGATGACTAATTTTTTTGCACTTTAAATTTATTTTTTCGGTACATTCCACGACTCAACTGTGGTATGATCGTACGACTTTAATTGATTCATGAGACTGAATTTCAAATTTCAAAACAGAGCCACCAATTCAGTCGCAAACATGACGCGCATAATGAAACAACAGATGCGATCTCACCTGGGACACCGAACTACTGGCTCGTCTAGATTCTGCCCATGCATTCGTCCCGTATCCAAGGTTGGCCTGAGCATTCTGATTTCCACCAGATCTCACACTACTCGAATTTCCATCCCTCTGGCGATACGGAGAGCTACTGCGATTGGTTGCTAATCCTGAAATCATGAATGCATGGGAAAATTTGAACACGAAACTATGAAATGGCACGATATAGAGTCCAATTTTTCTCGTGTAATCGAGTTGTCTATAAAATCCTATGAGAAATTACTTCACAATTTCATATGACCCGATCAATAACACTCGATTTTCTCTACTGAATGAGTTGAAGCTACGCTAGTCCCTCAGGTTGTTAATTTCGATATAGAGTAATATCCTTCTTTATTTCTTGGAATAGCACTGCAGTTCAAAGATATCTATCGAATTATTTGACCTCACTGACTACGATGTCGGATATCTGAGGCTCCTCTATTTCTATGATGTCCTCAATATGTTCACGTTTTCCCATGAGCACTCAAGTAGATACGGTTTAACGAGCATCGACACAGAGTTATGAGTCCATAGCGAACTACCATGACTACTCTTGGCTATTTCTTATTTTCATTATCCCTTTATTTTTTTTATGCTCAGGTCAGCGTCTGTACCAGAATTTTTGTTTATCTTATTTCTCTCGCAAAAAGTGAAATATGCTTATTGAATGAAATGGAATTTGACTACTGACCTTGATCAGCGGAGGCTCTCCTGGGTTCTTGAGGTGCAAGATTGTTTCCTCGATGATGGCGCTTCTCGTACCCTCCGAGACTGCCCCTAGGACTCCGATCAATATCAGGACCAATGCTACCCCTTGGACTACGATTGATGCCTTCCTGTTCTCCAATGGACCCCCGAGGATTTCTATCAAAATCTGGGACACCTATGGATCCTCTGGGCGATCTATTGACACCTTCGAAAGGCGCAATTGAGCCTCGTGGGCTACGTCCACCCTCTGGACATATAGATCCTCTCGGTGAGCGATTCGGATCAGGAGCGATTGAACCGCGGGGAGATTTATTAGGCTCGGGCATAATAGAACCCCTTGGACTTGGATTATGATACTCCGAAGAAATGGATCCTCTTGGTGACCTATTCGAAGATATATCAGGACATATCGATCCTCGTGGTGTTCTATCCAGGTCAATGGGTGGGACAATGCTGCCTCTCGGTGATCTCGACATGTCTGGACATATGGAGCCTCTGGGTGTCCTATCGAATTCGATATTCGCGATGCTACCGCGTGGACTTCTCGAGGTCTCTGGTACTAGGGAGTGCCGCGAGCTCCTAATGTCCCTATTTTCAGGCATGAGACTATTTCTTGACACTCCTGTTACTGCTCCTGGCACCAGACTGCCCCGAGGACTTCGGTTAAAGGATCCGTCTGGACCATATGGATTTCGAGGACTTTGTGCTCCATCCGGCATGAGTGAATGCCTTGGACTCCGCGAGCCGTCTGGTAGCAAACTATTCCTGGGACTTCGGGCAACATCGGGAACTAAGGAACCTCGAGGACTTCTACAATATTCTTCGGGAACGAGAGAATTCCTCGGGCTTCGGTTAGAATCCGGAAGTAAGCCTCGTGTCGATACACACAGCTCCGGGTCTGGGAGAAATCTTCTACCAGTTGGCTGCAAAAGTTTCGGAGCTTGTTATGCATACAGATGTTAATTCGGTACTCGGAGAAACTTTTTTCACGTGAATTAGAAAAAATATGCTGAAATTGCGGAGACAGTTCTTGAATTCAGAGAACTAATCTAAATTTGCGACTAATTTTTCTTGATTCTGAATGTGATATGCAAGGTTCAAGTGGTGTCATTACAGAGCAGATATTACCGCGATTTTTTTTCCGAAAAACAAGTTCTTCTGGCTCATCAGCTACTGAGATATTAGACATTGATGTAACACAATGAGTTTTTTCTCGCATCGGGAAACCTAATACAGCAAAATCAATTTTTCTTCATTTCAGGTGAAATTTTCCTGCCTTTACATTTGATCGTTTCTTCTATAAAAATGAACGCGATTTGAGTTGTTCTCCATGTGATCAGTGACTTTTCGCATAATGTGGGCCCAGATGGATTTTTAGCAATATCGACTCAGACTTTTTTTAATTACTTGCAAAATAAAATTTTTGGGTCTTTTGATTTCTTTTTAGTTTTGTCATAAATTAACAAAAATCGAGAACTGATCGAGGAGTTGTCGGTTTGGCGTAATGAGACACCTACTCTCACCCACCCCTACCGCAGTTACACCCACTCCGAAATCGAGCACAGCGAGTGACGGATCTCTCATGTTTAGTGTGATTTTTTTCTCCTCATTTGCATAGTTCAACAAAAAAAACTTTTTTTAAAAATTTGTTAGAACCTACTTCTTCATTATCTTCAACGTTCAATGCAATATTCGGTACTATGCTTCCTCTTGGTGATCGTTGTCTGTCCATTCCTTCACCAGGAATACTATTCTGAGCTAGATGGGATGGTCTATCAGTCGCTACGGAGGCTCTTCGCGACTTCAATCCAGCCGCCCCAGGAGTAATTCCAGTATTGCCTTGAGGAGAGTTTGCGACGCTCCGCGACGCCCTCCTGCGTCGGGACGACGAACTTCTTACAAGCATTACGGCATTCTTTTATCCCTGAAACAAAAAAACAAGTTTTCTTTTTCATTTTGTAAAGATCATTGAGTTGAATTTTTTTTGCGGCCTTCAAATCCCTTTTTCGGGTCCCATTCGGCAGTCTATTCAATCCTATGCATGCGGTTGTGGATTCTACACTGTACACGGACAGAATTAAATAGTGAACTTTACCATAGTAATCTCTCTTAGATTATGGCCATAGGAGAGATTATTATGGTAACGTAGTAAAAGGGTTTCGAACTGTCCCTACATAGTAATCCTTACTATTTCCCACGGTAATGGTTACTACGTTCCATAGTAATGGTTACTATTTTACATAAGAATGCCTTCCATGTCCACAGAAATGGTTACCATGTGAATGGAAAATGGTCCTATGAACATAGGAAGTATATAAACTCAAGACGCTTAAGGCTTAAAGTCTTTAATAAAATTGAACGAATTAAACTCTTTATTTGAAATTTTCCTATTAAATTCTACAATATTTTGGTTCAAAATTTGTATATTTATTTAAATAATAAAGCTTCATTTATATGGAATAAATAGTGTATTCATTAGAAGTCGATAATCAATTAGCAATAAACAATTTATTTAATTCAATCAGAAAATTCCTACACAATAATAAATCCTTTTCCTTCCCCATTTAAAGAATGATTCCATTTTTAACTAATAAAGTCTTTACTTATATGAAGAAAGCATTTGTTTACATTTATGAAACTATTCATTTGATATGAATAAAAATGCAATTGGACATTTAATTTAGGTTTCAATGGGCTTTATTAGGAGCTCTCTGAATAAACCCATTATTTAATTCAAAAACAAAATTGATTTACTCGTATTTCATTCCTTGATGGTATTTAATTATTTTGAATAATTTCATTATATGTTATAGAATATTCTCTGCAATATAGGAAGCTCTACCATGTTACATCGTAATTATTACTATGTCCATAGTATCTGTTCCCATTAAGCATACTATGCCGTGTAGTGACCATTACAATGCACGGAGAGAAATTTTCTAGAAAAATTCTAGTACGGAGTACTGGAAAAAATCACAATCCACCGGCTGTGAAAAATTCTATTGCTGTTAAGCTAAAATTTCTTGGTATTTCTGGTAAAATTTCTGGGGATTTCTGTGTAATTTTCACAGAAATACGGGGGAAAATTCACGTTTTCCCCAATAAAATTTCTAGTGTCGGCACTGGAATTTTTTCCTGGCCGTCACTTTGCGCCTCTTTTCCCGTGCTAGCACTAGAATTTTTCTAGAAAATTTCTCCGTGTGTTCCATGATAGCCATTACCATGTCCATAGTACTACTTCCAAAACTTAGTAACATTTACTATGTGCGGATTCCGACATGGTAATTTTACTATTTTATTTTCTCCATATATCGCATTCGCACTCCTATAGAACATAGAAGTAGCATAGGAAACCACACGGAGAAAAAAATTCCAGAATTTTTCAGGAGAAATTCAGGTAAAAATTACCGTGCCATCTGATAAAGTGGGTTCAATTGCCTAGCACCAGAAAAATTCCGGTGCTGCATAGTAAAAATTCCGGTACCGCACAATAAAAGCTTGATCCCTGACTGTTTTCTATTACATGATAAATTACATTCAATAATTAAAAATGAGTAAACATTGTCATTCAGCATATCATCCTATTAATTTTATTTTAACCTCTCCTCCATATCCTCTCTCCCATATGTATTAAAAGCAGAATGCGCGACAAACGTATGTGGAACGTTTGACAGGCCAATGTATCTCTACAGCGTTATACACCTCATGAAGAGAAAATAAAGGGCACTTATTTGATTTCTTAACCGTTTTATCACAACACTAATTAATATTTCACTGAATTAATATTATGAAAAACATTAACCTGGGGTTTCAGTAAGGAGATATGTGAGAGAGGAGGCTAGAGGAGGCGACGGAATAAATCATCTGGTCACGTTGAGTTGATGTTCGTGGTTGCGGAGGGGGGACGAAGAGTGCCGAAATCTTACGAATGCGCGATCGGGTCCTAGGATTCTGGTAGAGCACCGGAAAAATTTGCCAACCAGTGTCATAATTTTTCTCGTATTTCTCGTAAAAATTCACTGTCGCTTCGATTTTACCGTGCTGCACAAGAATTTTTCCCGCATTTATCCGAAAAATGACTCGTGCAACAGTACTTTTTCCTACTCTTTGCGGTACATTTCGCCTGGAAAGACCATCTGAACCCACTTTACTGTGCGAGCACGGTAATTTTTCTCGTACATTTCTCTCCGTGCATAGGAAACCCATGCCGGCACAGGCGGTTATTTTATTAGCAACCTCCCGTTCACAGAAGCCTCATGTTGAAAAAATCGATTCTACTTGGGATCGAACTCGCAACCTTTCGCACACTAGATTTTCGTCTAGCCCACTCGGCCACCGATGTCGGTAATCAGTTGAATACTTCTTCCAAAGATATCAAGTCTAAAAGTGATTGCTGGCGAGTCCGTTTTGGTACTTAATATTTCCGGTCTGTGGGAGCCAATTCACAGTCTCAACCGGAGTTGATAAAGTGGTACTCCGATTTCCTGTTCTACCAGATTGGAGGGGAGCGGATATCGGGATTTCGTTGATTGAATTCAGCAAGAGGCGCCTTCAATGGTATTTCTGCCCATAAATTCATCTTTCCATTCGATTTAAAAATGCGACTTTTTTATGAAATTTGATTATACACTTTCATGGCATCACACTGAGAGAAAAATCTGAAGTTCGATTTACAATAAGAAAATAGTTGAGGCAGTTTTGGTGAACGATACGATTTTTTTTGTATACGGCACATAACATTATAGTAACATCACAAGCGTAATATTTGCAAATCAAAATGCAGTTAAACTAACCAAAGTTCAAAAGTAACCACGACAAATATAATTCGACGGTGATGGAATATAGTCAGAAGAATCATATTTTTCTCTCAATGCAGTGCCTAATGATAATTCTAATTCCTCAAACATTTTATTTTAGTGCCAATGGCGACAATTGGTATAGCAAATAAAGGCAAATATAAATTGTCCTTTGCAGGCCTCTTCCCGGATGCAAATTCTTCACAAATATCTAGTGCTAGTGATGAAAAAACTCGCAATCTACCAGCTATGAAAAATTGCTAGTGTTAGTTCAGTAAAATTTTTGGTCTCTCGTGGTAAAATGTAATGAATCCGAGAAAAATTCGCGTGCTGCCTAATCAACTTTTCAATACTTGCATTGGAATTCTTCTCTGGACGTCAACTTGCGCCTGTTTTCCCGTGCTAGCATACATCGAATTTTTCTAGGGAATTTCTCTATGTTGAAGAATTGTATGTGCCACTCCTGCGAGAATGACGAACTTCTCTTCCTTTCCAGCTTTTTCCAAAATTATTTTGCACGGTTTTTGTAATGTGTTCCAGCTTCTGGAGGAATTGGGATTAGTTCGACTCTGCAAGATAGTTGTCAGTGGAATTGGGGCTTTCAGTCATGTGAATTATAGGCCGAACGTTATTTGTAGATCTCTCCACACGCGATTTTTACGTTTTCTGAGAAAGTAAGTTTTATGGCTTAGTTGAAAGGATAATTCATGGTAAATGCAGCAATTTAAAATATTTTACGATTTTATGTTCTTTTCTATATTCTATGCTATGGGATATCCAATCCAGAAGAATGTAAATTTTGTAAAATCAAGGTATTTGCTGGAGAACGAACTTATGATGAGCTGTGAAGAGCCGTCGGACTTAACCCTCAAGTACGGGGAATAAACCAAAAATAAATAGCGCTTCCAATAGATGAAAAATACTAAAAATTTGGATCGATTTTGAATTTATGAGATTGGTCTTGAAAGACGTGTCTGTATGAATTTGTTAAGGTACTACCTCAGTCGCTTATAGATGGTGAAAATTTCGCAATGTACTGGGGGTCAACAATTTGGAACATACACACAGAAAAAAGTTTTGATTTTCAGGGATATTCACTCATCTCCGGGGAATTATTGGTGATACTGAATACTGTTTAGAATGACGCTCATCAGTAATGAGAAATTTGGTGATAGATTCCTAACAATTAGAGATGGGTCCCTGAATAACAGTGACATTACCCTGACAATTTCCTCAATTCAGATTTTGACCAATCAGAGTGTGGTATTCGGGGTCACGTGACACGTTTCATACTAATAATTCCCCCGGCTGCAGGTAAATTATCAGACTGATAATTTCCCTGTAGCCTGTCAATTGTTTTCTACGAATTTGACAGATATTCCTCACATTTTGGTGAAATGTGTTCCGTAACCCTGAACACCGCACCCTGATCGGCCAAACCAGAATTGAAGAAATTGTCCTCCGAATACCCCTCGACCTTCAAATTTCATCGGATATTTTCCTTAAATTTTCCTCCATATCAACAAGAGGGATCAGTTTTGCAATAAAATCTGAAATTTTAATCTGCAAAACTGATCCCTCTCGTTGTATTCAACAAAACATTCGGGAAATATTCGATAATTTTGAAGGTCTTGGGGTATTATAGCTGAAAATTACAATGAGAAAACTTTTCCAGAAAAATTCTTGTGCAGCACCAGAAAAATTATCGCTCAGCACGGGAAAAATTATCGGGGGCACCATCATTTTTCTTAATTAAGAAAAATAATTGAGAAAAAATAATGTGCCCTCAATAATTTTTCCTGTGCCGCACAAGAATTTTTCTGGTGCTACACAGCAATTTTTTCAAGTGTGCGAGTTGTGACTCGTTCACGGTTCTTGACACATGAATCTTTCCAGAAAATGTTTTACAGTGTAGAAATGGGTTCCTTAAGATCAGTGACATTACTCCGAAAATCGGTGATGATGATTTCCCTGAAAATTAGTAACAATGTCACTAGAATTAGTGGTAATGTCACTAAAAGTTGGGGACGAAATCACTGAATTTCAGAATTTTGCACTCATTGAATTTCACGATTACGTATCCCTAATAATTGAAGGTAAATTTCTGAAA